GCGCCAACGTGTATACAACTCATTCGGCGAAGCTTATCACAACTTACGGTGGCTCGCGACCTTTTTTTTTCCTACCTAAGCTGATAGCCTTGAGAGGCTATATCAGCGTAACCTTAACTAGTAGGTGAGCTCACGGGGTTCAGACCTGACGACGTTGCTAACACGAACCCTAGCAAGACCCGTGCTTCGCAGAATCTACCATCGGATCGGAAACGCGACACACTGAGAAGATCTGGCGAGAAACTCAGTGGGCTGTGTCTGAGGGTTAATTTACGCGTCGCAAGCGTCGGGTTCGACGAGAACGATAACCGGTGCTTGAGGTGCCTAAAAGCACCATTAGTGGATCGGGAAGATTCGAAATGACGTGTTTGGGGCGACGTCGACTGCTTTCCATTCTGTCCGCAGAATCGGGAATGTTACACGCTCGCGACTACTTGCCGCACTTCGTTTTTCTGCACAAATCAAAAGCGCTCGCGCGCACTCGGCCAGTAGTACTGTCCACATATTGATCAGCGCGCCATTACGTGGTTGGCGTCGGTCGTGTTGACACCTACAAAATGTCACTCTCAACTGACGGAGCCCAACGTGTGGGCATCTCTTCAAAATTCGTCTATATGGGCCATTTGCATTGGTTTTCGATAAACTTGCCGAACGTGTAGGTAGTAGCACTTGCCTTGTATTAATTTGCCTACGCTCGCGTTGGTCTAAGCTCGACCCACATGTATTGCAGGCTTTTTTACAGTGTCCAAGTCTTCGCTCCGTAACTGAATATTGATCTATAAAAAAAAAGAGAATACTGAATTTAGTTTCCGCAACGAAAACTTCAACTCCTTACCGAGGCGTTACTGAGACCGTGCTTACCGTACTTCGCAATCAACGGTAGGCAGCGGCTTGGCTCTGCCCCTGGCATTGCTGAAGTCCATGGGCGATGGTAACCACTCACCATCAGGTGGGCCGTATGCTCGTCTGCCTACAAGGGCAATAAAAAAAACCTAGATCACGAAGGATGAGGCCCTTTATTCATGCTTCATTCCACGAGCATCTGAGTACCGAGAAAATCGCCTCAACTGCTTCGATGGCTTGGAGATCAGCTGTGGGATTAGCCAGTCTCTTTCAAAACTAAGTAGACCTTGTCTACATACGAAGTGACAATTGCTATGACAATTGCTACATAATAAATTCATTTGTTGAAATAATTGGCATAACAACAATCACCAATACATTCATACCCCAAAACCAATTAATTTCATGAATTGCCAACAAATACTGTACAAAGTTTCACAACAAAAACCATTANTCAGCTGTGGGATTAGCCAGTCTCTTTCAAAACTAAGTAGACCTTGTCTACATACGAAGTGACAATTGCTATGACAATTGCTACATAATAAATTCATTTGTTGAAATAATTGGCATAACAACAATCACCAATACATTCATACCCCAAAACCAATTAATTTCATGAATTGCCAACAAATACTGTACAAAGTTTCACAACAAAAACCATTATGAACGACTATATTAACACCGCACAAACAAGATTCAAATAAAAATCAAGATAGGATCATTCGCAAAAAGACTCTCGCAAAAGAATCCAAAAGCTCCCTTTTACTGTGAGCACGAATTCAACACCTTAATTAGTACGTAAGTCATCGAGTTTGTGAACAGAATGCCCTTTAAAAATTAGTGCAAACAAGAAAGAAAAGTATAAAGGTAGCGCTCGACTACTTCACGTGACCTTTGTGGACTTCAAACGATTTTTCCACTAGACCGGATGAAAGGTGGTCGTCAGCCGCCGTAACAAAGCTACTACCTTAATTGGGTTATTATGTATCATGCATTATACTTTAGACCTCGTTCTTTACTGAAATGTTTTGACTTGATTGTTTGTCCTGTGCTTGTTAAAGTAGGTTTTTGGAACGAAATTCCTTGTGGGACGATGCGGAGGGGTACTCTAACCGGGAAAAAACGTCCGTAACGTAAGATTTTTTCTATTTAGTTTGTGATCAACAGATGTCGCTGCTAGTAAATTCAACGATTCCCGAATCGCGGTGACGAGATAGTTGATAGTTGACAGTTGATAGACCTTCTCATATTTCTCTTACTAAATTTTAAAAGGTAAAAGGTAAAATAAAAGGTTGTCTGGAAGAGATCGCTTTTAGCGATAAGACCGCCTATTGTACATATGTGCTTTTTGACTGTTTGTTTTTTTAAAATGTAAATTGTGTTGGTGTGCAATAAAGTGTATTCTCTCTCTCTCTCTCTCTAAATCACATTTACCTGGTGTAGGGGATACCGTGATCATGCAGATGGTTACCCCCTATATTTATTTTAATTATGCAGTTTAAATGATTTTTCACAAAATCAGTACCTTATCTTTTTATCTAAAATAAACAAATAGATAAATAACAAATTATGTTCAATTACTTTAGTTTTGCTCGGAATTTACTTTTTTCGATTCGAGAATCAAATTCTTCGAAGTTTCCCGGCAAGGACGTTTTCGCAGGTCAGTGAGCCCATTCGGGACGTCTAGCCGAGTCGCCATGGCGTCTGGAGAACCAGTGCTCAGAGCGAGACAGAAGGCGTAGCTCATGTCTTGATTAGGGGTGCGGATTCCGAAAGGCAGTGAGATAACTTAGTCATAATTAAAACTACTTTTACTAGTACTCTGCAGTTTTCGTGGTAGGGGCGATCGGTATCATTACGCGTTCGTGATTCGAAATGTCGAACTTATAGAATGACACTAAAAGACACGAGATTAAACCGTAAACATATTAAAAGTAGTTTTAGTTATGTCCGCAACTACAAAAACATTCTAAGCCGATATGAATATAAATTTAATTTTTTTTAATGGTTAATCTCTGTGATTTTACGTAAATCCACAATGGAGTTATCAATTAATATATTGAAAATCGTTTTAACACTCATATTATTAAAATATGTTTCAATTAAAAACGACTCTGCTGACATTATTTTTTAGTATGTTTTCTGCGAGTACATAAAAATAAATAAATTTATGGAGTGTTCGTTGTAGTGAAACAGCCTACATCGATTGTGTGGCCCTGTTTGAAGCATCTAGAAATCGGGTCATCGCACTCCTCTCATGGCAGCCAGACTGGGCGGCGACGTTGATATAATAATTCCACCAAGGTCTGACATATGTACGCTTTGTGTATGGATATTTTCTGTACATTTATTTACTTATGAAACGTCTTGTCTGAGCGATTTATTTCTGTTTTCTTATTTCCAGTCTACCTTCAGCTATGTAAGTTGAGGTTTTTTTCATAAACAGACAGACAACCGAATGAATATTAACAACTCAGACCACGGATATATAATAGATATTTGTATACTAGATAAAGACTTCACACCATGATAACTCACAATAGTAATGTTTTCTTCGTTTTTCGCGTTCGTATGATAGCCGTTGAAGCTATTTTTACAGTTTGAAAGAGTATTAATTATTTTTATTTTATCATTCCAAAATTTAAATCTATATCTATACTTTTATTCTTATCTATACTTTTTTAATATTATAAAGCTGAAGAGTTTGTTTGTTTGAACGCGCTAATCTCAGGAACTACTGGTCCGATTTTAAAAATTCTTTCAGTGTTAGATAACCCATTTATTGAGGAAGGCTATAGGTTATATAACATCACGGTAAGACCAATACAAGTGGAGCACCAATAAAGAATGTTTCAAAATAGGGGTTTAAATAGCTCCTTAACATTCTATAATTCAAAAATATTTTCACTTTCTACGTAAATAAAGTAGGTGTGTAAAATTTAGCGTTATGCCAAAGTAACTATTTCACACGGACAGAGTCGCGGGCAAAAGCTAGTTATTTATATTTTATCATTCCAATGTTATAAATTCTTTATATTTTTTGTTCACGTACGTACTACGGCTTAAGTCGTAAAAATAGTTTTGATTACATTCAAAATAGCATTTGAAGATCTCAATGAATTTTAGAACCACATTAAGTACGCTAAGGGTCATAATGTACCATAACTTAACACAGATCTAACAATTTTACTTATGGAATTTCGATTATAGTTTTCATTCGTGTATGTGTGGTCGAGCGATTAGTTATCGACCTGTTTGTTATTATGAGGGGGCGACCTGTATACAATATTAGATCAGATACATCAACGCTTTTCGACTAGTCATAGATAAAAATGTTGATTAGTGTTCATTGTGGTTCGTACATATACGTGAGATCGATATTAATGAACACGAATTTGGGATCTACACCTTAAAAATCTAGCCTATAAATCTATTTAACTAAGTAGATTTTATTATTGAACACATGAGTTGATGAAGGGGATATGATACAATTTGTTAATTTAGAGAAAACGGGCAACAAACTTTGGTTACTTGTACTTTTTCTTCGTACATAACTCCTTCATCACATGTAGTTTATAAAAATAGCCTTTAAACCCGGAGCTTAGAGGTCTAATATGATTTATAGGGACATAACACTTTCATTCAATGTAAAAAACAAAAAAAATCTTAGAGATGGTAATTAGCCCCATCATCTACTCAGGCCTTCAATTCATTTAAGAGATTATTTATGGACTTTTGGCGGGAACGCGTGGAGTGAAGTTGTGTGATTTGTTTTATTTTGTCTATTTAGTGTTTCTTCAGGTTTAAATGTGTAATAACGGTGGTTTATTAACTGCTTAATATCGGTGAAAGTGCACAAATGTGGGAAAACGAAACAAAGTCGCTGGACTCCTCCAAAAAGTCCACTGAAAAAATCTCAGTAAATCACCAACATTTTACTAAGATTATATTTCATCCCATATCATCTCATCTCATTTTCATTAATGTCGCAAATTAATCATCTTCATTTCATTTCACTCCATATTATAATTTTTCACAAAAATAGGATTCATATAAATAAAAATAAGACATGACTTAAAGGTCTTAGTTACTAGGTCATAAAATCCCTAAAAAAAAAGAAGAGATTATTTCAAAATAAATATTATGTTGTCCATCAGGAAATGAGCGGTTATGGAGCAGGCGCCATGGCCACGACCGGAGGCACCGACACAGACTCACTGTCGAGACGCTTGCGTCAAGCCGAGCGTGCCAGGGCCGACGCGGAGAGAGCACATGCCGACGCACTTGCCCAGCTACGATCGGCGCAAACTTTGCCCTTAGACGCCCATAATATCGAACAACTACAATCCAGAGCTAGGGAGCTCGAGAAAAAAGTGAGTGACATGTAAATTTAATAATTAAACTTCATTTTATGAACATTCCTTTGTGGTTGAAGTAGTCCGCTTATGGAATGCACTACCCTTAAGTATCAAACAATCCGGAAATTTTCAATTTCAGATTAAAATCGCACTACCTTGCACAATAGTATGGCTCCTATGATAACTTTTTTTTTTATTGCCCTTGTAGGCAGACGAGTATACGGCCCACCTGATGGTGAGTGGCTACCGTCGCCCATGGACTTCAGCAATGCCAGGGGCAGAGCCAAGCCGCTGCCTACCGCTATAACTGTATAACTTGTACTTATTTTGTATTTACTTGCACAGTTTTAGTATTTATTTGTATTTAATCGTATGTAAGTCTATCCTATATTGTATTTATTTTTCACATGTGTATATAAGTATATACCTATATTTTATGTAAGTTTATTATGATATAGCACCGTCCATGCTAGTTTGCTTATTGCTCGCCCTGCAAGGTTGCCTGGAAGAGATCGCATTCAGCGATGAGGCCGCCAATTTATGTCACCATCTATTATTTGTGTTATATGCTTACTCTGTACATGTGGTGTCAAATAAAGAGTTATATTAATATTATTATTATTCAATACGGTCGATTTGTGAACCGCTTATTTGTAACGTTTTTTTTCGTAAATCGCGATATAATTACGTGTTTCGATTTGAATAGCTCGGATAGCTATTGTTGCAATATAGTTGAACTTTCAATCTCGGGTTCCAAGGCGTTTCTCATTCACTGTGGTGGCTGTGGTTTCCGGTAGCGCCAGAAGATTGAAGACGACCTATGTCCTCCTGCTGGTGTGACTATGTCCTCAAATCGTGTAGGCAGGTACAATTTTTTTTAAAGAAGCAATGAGATCATGATCCGTAATGCCGTCATCCAGCTTCCTTGAGACATGAGTCCAGAGTATCAGCTATGATATACTGATATAAGCTCGCACAAATCTAGGAATATAATCTAGAATGACCGATCCTACGCTGCTCTAGTGATGTGTGCCAATGAAAATTATAAGAAATCTAATTTATACGTTTCACATGCTACAGGCAGCTTTGGAGACAGTGCGTTGTGAGGAACTTCAACTGGAACTGTCGACAGCGCTGCGAGCCCGCGGCACTACGACATCGGCGACTTGGACTCAATGTACACAGCCTGGATATGAAATAGAACGAATTATGGCGAAAATTGAACAGGATAATCGTATTCTAGCTGAATTAGAACAGCCAAGATCTACTACTACTACACATGGTATTATTTATTGCTTAGATGGGTGGACGAGCTCACAGGCCGGTGTTAAGTGGTTACTGGAGCCCATAGACATCTACAACGTAAATGCGCCACCCACCTTGATATATAAGTTCGAAGGTCTCAAGTATAGTAACAACGGCTGCCTCACCCTTCAAACCGAAACGCATTACTGTTTTACGGCAGAAACAGGCGGGGTGGTGGTACCTACCCGCGCGGAGTCATAAGTGGTCCTACCATCAATGGCATAAGGCATTTAATGTTCTGGTTTATAAAGGGTGTACTTAATTGAAACATTCTACATAATATTTCTGTTCAATTTTAGCGATACAACCAAGTGGATCGACCCAGGCACTTGGAGAGTTCCATTCGCCGACACCGTCGCCCCTGCCTCATATTTATGGAAATACAGCTGGTCATGTAGCCATTTCTCAAAGCAACACCATGCCGACGCTGTCCGCATTCCATGGAGCAAACCAATTTAGCGCCCCTAGTTCGAATTCCGTTGGCTACTCGATGAGCGCCCACAACCCTACGTATGCCAATCAAGCCTCAACATATTCCGCTAACACATACGGATTGACAAACACTCATCAAGTCACATTTACTAATCCAGTGACAGCGCCCCTAGTAAATAGCATCGGTCAAATAACCAGCACTCTGGCTGGCTTACAGAGCAACCTTCAGAATATAACTGGGAATGTGTCAAGCCTGAATTTAGGCGGAACGCTTAGCGGACCAGGTATGACGGGTACAATAGCGGGCACAGGATTAACAAATTTGAACAGCGCACAGACAAATTTGCCGGGACTGACGAACACGTTAAGCGGGATACAATCAACACTTACTGGAAACTTGGGAAATACTCTGAACAGTTTGACTGGTGGACCTCAGCTCGGAGCGTTGAATACTAGTTTGACAGGAACCAATGCGTACGGAACTGGGATCTATACAAATCCACTTCTATCGGCTTTGACATCACATCCTTTGTGTATAAAATTAAAACCTTTAGATGACATAGATTTGAGTTTAGGTAGATACGGAACGAGTAGTAGTAGTGGAGCTGGCAGAGCAGCGACTCCGGTTACGCCCCATCAGCCCTCATGGAACCTAGGTTTAGATAGCCAATTCGGAACTGATAGGTTAGGGGCCTTAGAAACAGCGTTTAGTCATGACCGAAATCGAGCTTTATCGAGGATTCTTCCTAATTCAGCATTAGATATGGATGGTGGGTATCATTTGGTTATTTTATTATTAGTATCAATTAGGCCGTCAGCGCAAAAGTGGCTTAACCTAAAATTTTTCATAATCATGCTTATAATTATGTATACCACAGTTAATATAATAAATTTTGATGCAAAACCGGCCTATCCATAGTTTCACCCATAGATAACAGATAGCTTTGTAAATATTATTTATGCGCGTATTGTTTTTTGCCTACCTACTCAAATTTATGAAAATTTAAACCTCATTGCTCCATAATACCACGCTCCATATTGCCACATACCATCCAGCTTTGGAATGAGCTCCCCTCCACGGTGTTTCCCGAGCGCTATGACATGTCCTTCTTCAAACGAGGCTTGTGGAGAGTATTAAGCGGTAAGCAGCGGCTTAGCCCTGTCATTGCTGACATCCATGAGCGACGGTAACCACTTACTATCAGGTGGGCCGTATGATAGTCTGCCTGCTCGGGCAATAAATAAAAAATACTATGGTAAGCTTAGGCCACTTTTGCGCTGAAAGCCCCAATTTTCAAAACTTTTCATAGATGTATTATTTCAATTTCAGTTCGAAATTCACTTTACATGAACGGGGCATCCGCTGAAACGGTAGACATGTTGGATATTCCCGGACGAGGCCGTTGTTGCGTTTACATAGCACGTTTCTCCTACGACCCTCCGGAGTAAGTAACGAGAACTATATAAGCACACTGAAGACCCTGTTATGTTACTGGTGGTAGGACCTCTTGTGAGTCCGCACGGGTAGGTACCACCACCCTGCTTATTTCTGCCGTGAAGCAGTAATGCGTTTCGGTTTGAAGGGTAGGGTAGCCGTTGTAACTATACCTGAGAGCTTAGAACTTATAACTCAAGGTGGGTGGCGCATTTACGTTGTAGATGTCTATGGGCTCCAGTTACCACTTAACACCAGGTGGGCTGTGAGCTCGTCCACCCACCTAAGCAATAAAAAAATAAAAGTAAATAAATAATTGAGTTTTTTTTGTATCAATTTCAGAATCGAAAGCGCAGAGGGCGAATTATCGATTTCGGCGGGTGATTATTTATTAGTATGGGGCGCGCCAGATCCAAACGTCACAATGTTGGAAGCGGAAATGTTAGACGGGCGTCGCGGTCTCGTGCCAGTTAATTTTGTTCAGAGACTAGTGGGAGAGGATCTTTTAGACTTCCATCAAGTTCGTACATTCACTAATCCAATTCTATGGATCTCAAAGTTCCAAGCGTTCTTCATTTGTGACGTGAACTTACAGGCTGTGGTGACGTCGATGCGAGATGTTGATGAGTCTGCGACGACTGCGGTCAGTGAACTGTCTCTTAGTCGGGACGTCGCTCGACTTAGTGAAACGGCGGACATTAATGAGGGTCCTGAAGATGACGACAATGGTATGTGTTAGATAATTTAAAAATCTCGATTACTATATTTGAAATTAGCTTCTCTTTAAGATAAGCGGTCGATTGAAATAAATAATTCGAGAACTTACCTAGTCTATGTAATTAAATTAATTTATAACTTACCACATTTGTAGATATGTTCTGAGCTTCAACATTTAATTTAAAAACACAAATATTCAGGTTTTTGAGATTCGAATGAAGGAATTTCGCATGCATTGTCCCAGTACATAGCAAAGTAAAGAGGTCATTATTTTATCAATCATGGTACAAAGCTTGGTAAACCATTTCATGAGAAGGAGCACCATACACGACACCTCACAATTTACCCATGAATTTAATGATCAATTATAATGCAACAAACAAAGACCCAATACGGTTCTAGCCGTTGCGAAAATGACTTAGATATCTATAGTGAAGCGTCCTTTCCTCCTCCCGATCCTTCGGACTCGGCCGCACGCTTCTCCGCATAACTCGCACATCGCTGGCTGCATTACCACGATCAACCATCGGACCTGAACGGCAGAGCTGTTTTTCTCGTCGCTAGTGCCCGCGCCGCGGCAGCTCAACCTCGAGAGGCAATTGAATAAGTCCGTGCTGATCAGCTGGATCGCGCCGGACGGAGTTCAACAGGCGAACATCGAAAGCTATCACGTGTATGTCGATGGAGTCCTCAAAACTACTGTGAAAGCTACAGAACGCACGAGGGCCCTTGTCGAAGGAGTCGATGCTGGTCGCGTAAGTTGCTCTTGAGGTATTATGATCTAAAGCAGCCTTTCCCAAAGTGGGCGATAACGCCCCCTTGTGGGCGCTGCAGGCCTAAAGGGGGGCGGTAAGAGACCCAGAAAAAAAAGGGGGCGTTGTGTAGAGGCTTGGGAGGGGATTTGTAATTTCATCTAGAAGGACTCTTTAATACCGACTTAGCTCTCGAAGTGGGCAATGGACAAAATAAGTTTGGGAACCCCTGATCTAAAGTATCCACTGTAATTGTATACAGAATATTTAATTGTCATTAATTTGAAATAAATTTGAGATTGGATTGTTTTATGATACCTTACTTACTAATTAGTGAAAGTTGACTTTTCAATGAGCAAATGAACAAATCCAGTATATTGATTTTAAATTTTTAGCCTCATAGAATAAGCGTGCGTTCGGTAACTGCTTCACGGAGGACATCACGTGATGCTGCTTGCACGATGGTCATAGGAAAGGAGACTGTTAATATGGGCCCAACTTGTGTCAGGGCTAGTGGAGTGACTTGTTCTCAAGCCGTAATTTCCTGGTTGCCTGCCAATTCCAATCAGCAGCACATAGTTTGCGTTAACAATGTTGAGGTACTGATGAGATTGTATAAGCTCATTTCATAAAAGACCTTCTGATGTCGCAGTTTACTTTAACTTTTGATTTTTAGGTGCGGCTAGTGAAAGCAGGTGTCTATCGGCATACCATTACGGGACTTTCACCCAGTACTCAGTACAGAGTAACAGTACGGGCCAAAAATGGGAAGACTCTCCAGCCTTCGGGAATACCCGCAGAAGAAGCTCCAGGCGCTTACACGGACTTTAGGACTCTACCCAAAGGCTTACCGGATCCGCCCAATGAAATAATGGTATGTGCTTCTCTTAGCTGTGAATAGCATGAGATGGAACGCGCATGCTTCTGAAATAAGAGGTCGACAATGTAGGTTCTCCCAGGCTCCGTCACTGATTATATTTATCAGCAATCTGTTAATACGAATACGCAGTTAATACTCATCATAGAGAGGAATTTAGGCTACAAGGAGCTTTAAAGCCGAAAAGCACTTGCACTTGGTGATAGCTTTCATATACCTACTATAAAATTTGTGAAATTATATCTAGTCACTTGGATTGATACACCCCCCTCCCGTTCCCCTGCGAATAAATTCACAATCTCAGAGCGCACAGCACGCCCGACGTATTCGAGGAAGTCGCGTCAATCGCAACCATAAATCCAGCTCCATGAAAATATAATTAAAATTACCGAACCTTTCGTCCGAATTTTTCATGATACAGCGCTCCATACTTGCGTTCTTTCCTTTCCTGATTCGACTTGATCATCCTCGATGGCGGTCTCCGAATTGAAAACAGAGTTCGACCCGATTGGCTAGACGATAAGTTCAGCTGGATTGTTGGTGGTGATTGGTGCGGTGTCGCAGGTGGAGGCCGGCCCGCAAGACGGCACTCTGCTGGTGACGTGGCAGCCGGTACAGCGTCCGCCCGCCTCTGGACCTGTAACCGGATACGCTGTATACGCTGACGGAAAAAAGGTCACGGACGTAGACTCGCCGACCGGTGACCACGCTCTCATCGATATCGGCAAACTGATCGGCCTCAATCCTAAATGTGTTACCGTGAGTATTTCGGTGTTGTGCTTCATTTTGCTAGGGTACTTGCTACATACAAGTCGTGCTGTGAAAATTCTCAAAACAAGCTATGTTGTGAATAGTTGCGATATAGCTAAAATTATACCCACAACTTCTTGGTACGTTTGAAATTTCGTTTGTTTTTCAGGTTCGTACAAAATCGCGCGACAGCCAATCCAGTGATAGTGTACCGACGCCTATACCGCCTGCGGTATTGCGGGGCGTCGTATCGAGAATGCCTCGTGGTGCAGTCGCGCCGGTCTCGATTCAGCCGGGCACGTACAGGGGCCCTCAGCGACCGCAGCCCTATCAGCAACAGCAACAAGTCATTGAGCATGACGAAAATTTATCAGATAAGGAAATATTCCCAAACAATAACCGCCACGATCAGCAGCCAGCCCAGGTGATCAATGATTTATTATCTGATCAGTGTTATTAATCTTTGAGTGGAAGGTTATCTAGTTTCCACTGATCTTCATTCAATTTATGATAACCATTCAGAAATTAATGAACCTATCACAGAATTAACATCAATATACCATTTATATACTGAATTTTACAGCCATCTAATTTTGTTACCACATTATGTTGCGTATCGATGTTGTTGTGTATTTTGTGTGTAATTTATAACTTAACTACGCAGTGTATCGTATAATGTTGATTAATATGTGCTTCGTTTTGTTCTTATTGACTTATAATTATTGTTGTACTTCTTTTATGTCTTCTTCGCTATCATTGTTAAGATTAAACTCATTCGCTCTCTTCTTGCGTAGCGACTTGTCTGTCGATAGCCGGTGGTGTGACCACAATAACAAAAGTTTCAGTGAGCGCAGACAGATCGTCACGCATCATCGGTGTTGCAAATTGCACTCTTTATTCTATATCCTGTGATTCTGTCGCTGGCATCCTCCAAATGTCCAGAACGTAGTTCAATGCCGTACGGTATCACGGCAACACCACGCGCGCTATCGAATATAGCTATGCACTCGGCTCGAACGTTCAAAATTAAATGCATACTGCTTGCGGCTAGATCCGTAGAATATAGTGCTCTATTGGCCGATACCCGAAACAACGCACAACACCTTACAGATAATACCTACTTAGTTGAACAGATAAAGAGCTTGTACTTTGTGACACAGACATACCCGTTTTGTGACTTCACGAGTTGCGATCATGCCACTTAGACTAACCTAACTTCCTCACATAACTGTTATACACCTTTCCGTAGCCTACGAGTGGATTCGGCACTGGCCTCCTAAAGAGTATATTCGACAAAATAACCCCTTCGGTAAGGAATTTTAACACGCCTTTTCAAGTAAACTCTTTTATTTCTCAGACGTTTGTCTTTGATGATTTATTTTTGATTAGATTTATTTTTGAGATTTATTTTAGTACTAACAAATTAGTTTTGGTTTTGATTTTTGGTTTGTTTTTAATTTGAAATTATATACTAATCACGCAGTGTGTTCTTAGCCAAATAGTTTATTAACATAACAAAATAAACTTGTAGTCATACTAAGGCATTATGACAATGAATATCTTTGAGTATGCTTTTATATTTATCTGAAAGTAGAGCAAATACAAGTAGAAGGAAGTATATTCTGTTAGCTCAATGTTTAACAACAATTTACTAAAGCAAACAAATTCAAAATTATTTCAAGCACAGTGTTTATGTTTAAAATTTTTGATATTATATGTGTCTCTGATTCAAATAAGTAACGCAAAAGTGACACTGTTAGTATGCTATGTTTTAAAATAGACATTCGTACTGAAATACGAATTGTTAGTTTTTTTTGGCTATAATTTTATTAGAACGAAAAAAAAATATATATTTACTCATTCACACGCAAATCAAACATCCACCATACTCATACAAAACATCAAAATTTTATTAGACGTGAATAATTTAAAGTCGCAACAGTAGGTAAACGATGACGGTCGATCATAAATCGAAAGCCGAATGCTTATTCAAAGTCAAATCGAAGTACCTTCCCGTTTCCATCTTGGCTTGTCTGTATCATGTGGCTTTTCTTGCTGAACGTGTATCTTCTACGTCTTTCAAAATTATACTAGACTATGTCACGTGAGTCAAAGCTTATAATGAAATGCTTTATTTCCACAGTAAGTAAACAAAAAAAGTAAGGGCCGTTTGGCAATATTACAAATAGATTCAGTCACGTCACGCACCATAACTATGCGATCTCCATTCTGTCAGCATATCAGTGTAACAATAAATCCTTGGTGTAAGTGTGAAATATTAAATGACCATGTGGTATCAGCAATCGGGAATACCGGCCATCGAAATCACTAAAGAAGGCGCGACGGAGCTGGGTAGCGAGGATGGGGAGGCGACGCGCCACCGGCCGCAGGTCTGCGATAACTCTGTCATCGATGTGCTCTTCATGTGCTAGCACTCACTGTACTGTCTCTTTCGCAACTCTGTACGGTCCCTGAAGTCGAGTTTCCGTTTCTCGATGTGGCTATGTTGTTATATTCACTTGTAACGTCTACGTTGTAAGTTTCTACACACACGCGACACTCGGCGTCCCTGTCACATTCAGGTCTCGACACTCTTGGAGCACTGCGTTAAGAAAACTAATTCCTTCGAGACTGGTTGAGTTCTTTAGGAGCTAGGCCTAACACAGAGCAGACCAGATCACCCATGTACACAGAGCATGTTATACATTTGAAGGCTCCTGCATGCTGTCTTGGCTTTCTGTACACAGTGAATACAAATCCTAATGACACACGTGAACAATTTCGTTAAGGTGCAACCATTAATTTGAGGGATTTAATAGGGAATCTGTCAAAACACATTTTGAATCGTATTATGGGGACAGGACCTGTGAATCTTAACACCGAAAAGCATTGTGGGAGTCATTGTCTGCGTTGAAAATACAGTTTCAAGTGTATTTCGCTGCACGCTCGCTTTCGTTGTGCATGGGGATTGAATTGCGCTGCAACGGAATGTCTCGTTTACTATTTAAAAAAAAAAACCTGCGCGGCGAAGGTAAAATTGTTTTATACCGCTTTAAAACGCAACGCCAGAATGAAAACCGTGGCTATGAGCTTAAAACATTGCTGTTACTTTGATTTCGGAAAATCTAACCTTATTAATGTGTTGGTACGTACGGACGTCAGCAGCAACCGTCCCAACCGGCGCAGGCGTCGCAACCGCCTTCGGGTCAGCAGTACCCGAATACACCAGCGTACCATGGCACGCAGCAACCGCCGTATCCTCAAGTCGCCCAGTTCCCAAGTAACCAGCAGGGTCAGTACCCTAACCAGCCGCAGCAGTACCAGAATCCACCACCAAGGACACACCACGAAAGAGGACGACCACCGAATCCTCAGCAGGTGAATTATATTTTTGACATTTATAATCGTATGTGTTGGTTCAGTTTAGTTCATTGTCACTACTCATCTCTCACGTTATGCAGGTCCAAGACTTATTGACACCACAATGACAGGTCTTACACAGAACGTCGAAATCTCAAATTTTATTGGCATAGCGACTAACTTGGTCATTAAACTGAAACGTATGATCTTCTCAAATCAGAATCAGGGAAGGTGGTAGTACCACGTGTTGTTTTTATCATAGTGTACTTTACCATTATTGATCAGGTCCTCGAAGAGGTCTTATTATTATGTACACGTACTCTTTAATCAATAGCCACACAAACTATTATCAAAAAACTAGTATATCAATGTTTCATGTGATATGGAAATTTCAACGTTATTTCTATTTGCATAAATTAGAAGACACATAAAGTGCTTTTTTTGGATATCACCTTATGCTGGATTTTGCAAAGCTGAGTATTTACGCTTTTTGGACAGCACGGGCAGCCAAGCGGGATGCAATTGCAAGGACGAGGGGCAGCGGCTGCGGGTGGCGCGGTACCTCGTGGCCCGCAACCGGGTCAACGTCATGGACCCCAGAGCCACGCTCAATCCAAACGCAGCCGCTTCTTCATCGCGCTCTTTGATTACGATCCAGTTACAATGAGTCCGAATCCAGAGAGTTGTGACGAAGAATTGCCCTTCAGCGAGGGTGACACAATAAAGGTATAAGATCCTGAAATGGTTTTTAACGAGTGAATTAAATAAGAATTAGGGATGGGAGTCGGAAAGATAGATAAATGTTTAGTGTCATTGAATTTCGTGACTTGGTACATATAATATATAAATCACCAGAATTTATAAATTTTTGAAATCCTTGTATGTTGAGTATGGTGTGTTAGCATAAAAGTACTATTCTGCCTCTCATTGTTGTGTGGCAGCCCTGCGTTACTACGTCACATAAGACGGTATACCCAACTAGCGCAGAAAAACTATAGTTTTTCTTTAGTAAAGAACGTTTACATTTCGCGGGATCGTTCTCAGATAATCCGTCTATAATCTATTATTATTACGCATCTGATGAAAAAATTGTTCATCGCATTGATATTTAGCTTATGCTAATGTTTAAACTATGATAATGTGAGGAGGGGGTGTTCCAAAAAATAATAATTGTATAGACTGTGTGAAAGAGGAACTGCGATAGAAGGATGGAAGTCCATGATAAGCCTGAATGAAAATAAGGTATGCTCCGCCGACCCCGCATAGTGGGATAAGGACAAGGCGAAGTTAAACATTGAACTTCTTTAATTCAAAAACAGGTATGGGGGGATAAAGACGCTGACGGTTTCTACTGGGGCGAGTGCCGAGGCCGACGCGGATATGTGCCGCACAACATGGTTATGGAAGTTTCCGAACAAGAGGCCACGGGGCAACCAGCCGCCAAGCCAAGAGACCGATGGACCGACGCTTATGCTAATCAACCCGTTCGAAGAATGGTCGCTCTCTATGACTATGATCCGCAAGAACTGAGCCCCAATGTAGATGCCGATGTGAGCATATTATCAAACTTAATACGAATTTAATAACTTTAATAATAATATCTATTATCATTTCTATTATGTTCTTCTTAGTTTCTATTGTCATTGCATTAGTTTTTCGAGATATAAGTTTAATTTTTGAGAATGAATCCGTCACGTCCCTTTTATGTCAATGGAGTTTATTATGATCATATTATTATTATTGTTGATGTTACTGGAAACTAATGTGTGGTACACATGTTAGTTTCTGAAGCGGAATCTTCACAGATTTTAATTAGATCCACAAAATCTCGTGTCTCAAGGTCGTTGTGGCGTCCATAGACTCCATATAATAATGACCGACCGTGAGTTTGAGTTTCTGAAGCGGAATCTGCACCGATTTCAATTAGATCCACAAAACCTCGTGTCTCAAGGTCGTTGTGACGTCCATGGACTCCATTTTAACACTGACAGACCGTGACTTTGCCTCTTTATCTACATCAGTAAAACTGCGATATAAGTCGTATTACAATTAACATCGTTCAAATATTTTATTACAGGCGGAATTAAGTTTCCAGACTGGTCAAATTATCCACGTTTACGGTGATATGGATGATGACGGTTTCTACATGGCTGAAATCGATGGAGTCCGAGGACTGGTCCCCAGCAATTTCCTCACTGACGCCAACGAACAGTATACCAATGCCGGACAGAGTAGTCAAGGTGAGGAAAAAATTTACCGTAATCTATACATATAAATAAAATTGGAGTGACTGTTTGTAATATTGAAATAACCGCTTTTTACTAGATGCATATTTGCATTTTTACAATATTTGTCTGTCTGTCTGTTTATACCGGCTTATCTCTGGAACAGCTGGACCGATTTCGACAAAACTTTCACTGATATGTAGCTGATGATATAAGGAGTAACTTAGGCTTTTTTTAGACTAGCTTCTCCTCGCGACGTCACCCGCGGTACGAAAATAACCGTGGGATTCAACTAGTTTATTATAAATACAGTGCAACCTCGATGTAACAAATCGGAAGTGGATCAGTAAATATTCGTTATATCAAGTAATTCGGTAAACTGAGGTTTGTTATATTAACGTTAGGTTGGTCTATAATTTGTTATAACAAGGTAAAAAAAAATGTTTTATTCACCCCAAAATTATGTACTCATCTTGTTATAGCGAACAACTTCTACTAATAAATGATAACACATTTTTATCAAATTACTGTATGGATTTTCTATTTAAAAACAATTAGGTAGGTAACAATTTTTCTTAAACCTGTCGAGACTGAATCACATATGGATTTAGAGTTATATTGGTCGGAACGTTATATTTATGGGTTTTTGGTTGACAAAATTCGTTAGTTAGAGGTATTTGCACTATTTTTCGATAGTTGAAAATTCGTTAAAAACGGCTTACTCGCATGAAATCTTCGCAATGTAAAAGTATATTTTACATTGACACTTATGGACTCTTATAACGAAGAATTTGTTAAATCGAGGACGTTGTTATATTGAGGTTCGTTATATTAAGATTGCACTGTACATATATATTTTTAAGGCTGGTGTTTTTTACGCAACTATTATATATAGGACAGGTTTTTTTTTGTTTTTTATACAACGTAACTAAATTATAATTAATAGTGATGACGTTTCTGTTAGTTGTCTACGCACTTCTAATTACGAATACGATAATGGGTATATAAAATTTTCTATGAAGAAAACAGTTCGAGCTTAGCTTAACACACAAGTTTATTTTCACTTCACTTTGGGTATCTTATTACTGTAACGCCTTTGAAATCATTTTCATTAAATCACTTTCGAATCGATTCAAGAACAAAATAGGAATTGAGAAAGAATGAGCCCCAAATTTCAAATGCAATAATTGGATTGTGGATTTGCATCTATCTCAAAACACGAGTGTATCCATAATCACACACACATAATCAGAGTTTTACGAAAACATTATTGTTGCCAAAAACAATTTTTTAAGTAATTTGTCAGTAAATTTTGTATACGAGTACCTACTTAGTATCCTTAGAATCCTCAAGTTCTTCGGGCACATCACTCGTAATGAGGACTCCATTGACCGGTTGGTGGTGCAAGGGAAAGTCGAGGGCAAAAGATCTCGCGGACGATCTCCAACACGATGGACCGACCTCATAAAATCTGTGACTCACTCCAACATAAATGTTTGCTCTCACTCTGCGAAACATCGTGCCATATGGCGTCGCATCGCGAGAGCATCGGTATCGCAGGATCCGACTGATGCATGACCACGACCACTCTGTCAAGAGTGTACGAATAGGAAGAAAAGAACCTACTCAGTGTGCTTAGTGCGAGTTTTTGAACGTTCTCGATAGTGTAAAAGTTCGCTCATATTTGTATGGAATGGAATCGTTTGCCTACGTTTGCCGCTAGGGGCGCTGTTCCAACTGCTGTTGTAACTATACTTGAGATCTTAGAACTTATATCTCAAGGTGGGTGGCGCATTTACATTGTGGATGTCTATGGGCTCCAGTAACCACTTAACACCGGGTGGGCTGTGAGCTCGTCCACCCATCTACGCAATAAAAAAAAATTAAGTTTCCTCGTATGACGTCGAACGCGGTTTGTGTGCAGTTGGCGGCCCAAATATGCGCGGATCGGGCGGGGTCGCAGGGCGCGGTAGGGGCATGGGCCCGGGGGCGTCTGGGGGGCCAGGGGGCTCTGGGCCGCCGGGACCGGGGGCGCGCGGCCCCCCTCCCCCTCCGAGAGACAATGTTGCCCCCGCGCCCCGCAACCATCACCGTAAGACAGGTGAGTTTACCGTCCCGAACCTCCCTATTCGGTACTCCTGTCCAGACACCCTTTACGTTTATTATTTTTATTGTGTTAGCTGATTAATACGAACTTGAGATGGGACGATCGGTTCGTCGATGTGGGGTCAACGATCTAAGAAATAAAACGTTACGAAACATTTATTTTTGTTCTTTAAACAGCTTCACAAATTATTGTAAAGTTTAAAAAAAGCAAAAGGTTCTCAAAGTTGACGAATCGATCGGCGTCCCCATTGTTTAGGTAAGTGTCGGCGACTGACGAAGCGTGTCCGTCCCGAACATTGAGAGCTTTGAGTGTTTCATGTTTGCACCTTGGACTTGCTATGTGACTATCGAACGACGCTAGCTATTTCGCTCAGATAACCTCTATCATCTTTCTTGTACGATTGCGACGGGACTTGCCGAATTTTTTTATTTATAATATTAAAATGTACAGCAAAGATTTAATGTTTAAAACAAATGCAAGTCCGGTTGCAATCTACGGAGCACAAAGACTCTTGGTGTATACATTTTGCTAAAACACCATCTTGGATTACACAGTCACATAAATCGTTAATTTTTTTAAAGAAATTATAAAAAAGATGAGGTCACACGATACGCGCCCACATGTATCGAATAGGGAAAATGCGAAATAGTTTTTTTTTTGTTTTTTTGTATTTTTTTTTTGTTTTTTCTTTGTTTTTCGTTTAATCTATCCAATTATCTATCCTATCTTTATTTTTGTTTAACCTAACCCGTGAGGTCTAATCCAGTGAGGCTCCACACGTAATTAGCACACACGAGTGGGTAGGCTGACGTACAAATACACGCAACATAGACTTGCACAGAGCCCGCGGTGTCGGTGAAGTGTGATCCAAGATTCGGGTGGTTGTCTGTGGTCACTATATATGTTGGGTGTATTGTCTGTTTGCTAGATGCCTGCCCTCTTCCCCCTTCTCAATTAGACCACAACACATGCGCCAGTAATCCAGAACAGGCGAATTCTCAGGTAAAAATTTACCGTTTAATAAATCGAACCCACAAAAACTACTACTTCAGATAAACTAAGCAATTATACTAGTCTTATTATGTTCAACTATCACTTTCATATATTTAGATGAATTATTGTTTTCTCACTGTTTCCTTTCTTCATTTTTATTTTTATTTTTTCTCTATAATATTTTATCGTTACGTTTCACGCTGCGCTCAGTGTACAGATGAGGGCGTTTTTAAATGAAACTGATCGCTAGTACTTGGTCTTTTACTATTACATACATTAAATAACGAACGGAACCAGAATATAGACACATTAGCTCTCATAACATATGCTGACCAGTTTCTATAAGTACTCAACATTAACACTGTCGCATACTTCACTCACATTGATTTACAATAGCTCAATCACCATCTTTTTAAGTGACCGCATAAGCATTCGAGGCCTGTCAATGTGGTCTACACGATTAGAGCGTTTTATTTTAACTTGTCAATGACATGCCTATTTGTGTGTACTTCGGTCCGAAGTACTTGCATTAATCGGGTAGTATATTATAACACGTTCTCACAAATGCTTTCTGTTGTAGTTTATCAAAGCATGAGATGCATGTCTCAATCTCGATCAATAATTAGATCACGACGCGGCGACGCGTTTATAAAAGTAAGAAAAATTTTGATTTAGTATCTTTCACTCGCTTGGTGCATGGAAACGGCATGTTCAGTCAAAAGCACGAAATCCAACGCGTTCTTAATGTTGTCTGTACTAAAAGTGATATAAATAAATTTAATATCAAGATCAAACATCGAAAATAAAAGTTTAGAAATAAAATTAAAAAAAAAAACAGGTACGAATTAATTTATTACCAGAAATTCCATTTTAAGCTTCTTTTCCCTGTTAGATTGGAAACGATGTAACCGTACTTATTCTATTCAGTAAATTCTAACGCATCAATTTGGCAAGTATCGTTACATATTGTTCTTTCAAAGTAAAATTATCATAGATGTCACATTCTCTATTCAAATTTAACTATTCTGAAGCACATAAATTGCAAAACAATTTTTTTTCTCAGGCAAAAATTTAATTTTTTCACGTTCCTGTTATAAAAATAGGGTTGTGGTTGTACGATGAAATAATAAATAATTGGCAACAGGCGAGGGGGAGAGGCGCGTCGAGCGGACAGCCCCCGAACACGATCGCGCGAACGAGCGCTGGTAACGCGGGCACCCCCACCGTCCAGTCGCCCGGCAACGCACCCCCCAGCGGACCCCCCACCTCCAACAACTCCGCGAGCACTCCGCTTAATGCGACCGGGCCCACTAGCACAACGACGGGGGGTCCTACGGCGCAAACGACTACCAGACGCGGAGGTCCAGCGGTCGTGCCTTCCGCGCAGCCCCTCACGCCGGCGCAGCCCCCCTCTTCCCAGCCCAACCTGATGCAGAAGTTCTCCGAAATGACGGCACCCGGCGGCGACATTCTTAGTAAAGGCAAAGAACTGATCTTCATGAAATTCGGCCTCGGTGGTAAATAATGTCGGTCGCAGGGGGTCGCGGCGTGCGACTCCCGCCGCGCTGTCTCGTCCACTCCCCCGGTGCCCTGGTACTGGCTGGTACTCCTGCGGCTAATCCAAACTATCTATCCGGCTCTTCGTGGAGCTTGTATTTAATTTAGGCATGTTGTAAATAGTTATATGCAATACACGCACAGTATAGTGGATATCTGATCGTTAGTGCTATCTCGGTAGATTCATGGATGGAGCTCAGACATCTGGGAATAGTTGTACCTATATCTAAAGCTTCTCTATCTCCGATGTTTGCTCGTTAACTACTTAGGTTAGAAATAAATATGAATTATATCATTGTTATTGTTTATGCGATAGTAGAGTTTGACTTGTGTTATTTCTTGCGTAGAATAAGAAATTATAATGTTACCGTCTAGTTGTTACTTCATATTCGTTACGGTGTAGTCTTGTTGTAATTTTCTAATTTACGTTTTAAATCTAGCTAGCTGTGTGAATAGCCCTTGAAAATATTATAAAACAGCGGAACAAGAATGTGAACTTCCTCTAAAGTCTGATCTCACGGAAAAATTACGATTAGTTATTGTTGTTTATGATAAATGTTTTGTTAACGCTAATCTTTGTACAATGCAATGGTGCAACCGTCCCTTTTAAATAAACGGAATCGATTTAAAAAAAATATCGATTGACTTTTAATCGACGTTCGGCGGTCATGATCGTCAATGAAAAATATTGTATGGAAAGCAGGAACACGTATTTTATTATTTATAGAAATTTGCAAAATTGAAGTGTTGAAAAGTTTGAAAGCTAATTTAAAAAAAAATTACGTCATAATTTCACTTTCATCTCGATTCCATGCTGTCAGTAAAATTTATATACCTTAAAATCGATTAAGTAATTGAATCCCTTTAAGGTATAATAATTATTCTCGAATAGAAACTAAGATACTGTGATAGTAGACGTGATACCATCTATATTCTAATTGTACTATACATTTACTTCACACAAAACATTCTCGACTGCATTGGACAGGAAATTCGTTCGCATTTTTGCCATTTGAAATTGAACTTTATATTCGAAGAAGATGTACAATAACTTGTCATTTATTGTGGCAATAGATAATCGTGTATCGATAAGAACTATATTACGAAGGAAACTTCTTATAATAGTTACTTTTCTTACGTATCCAAAAGCCGTAGACGTACTTAAACACGTGTAATGTTTAATCTGGTATTAGGTTCATAATAAAAAAAAACATTTATGACAAAGGCGAATTAACCCAATGACAAGACTGCTTGCATGGAGAAGATATTTTATATAAGTTATAAATCGATAATGCATCACTGATGTGTTTCGATTTCAAATTTGAAATTCATTAACAAAATAATATCACGTACACTTAATTATTTTAATAAACGATCACCATAATAAATAATGTTTGACTGCGTAATGAATAATCGTAATCAAACATAATTCAGTAATTTATTCCGAGATAATTATAATATTCAATATGAAATGTTTAAGTAATTCTAAAAATTGTTGTACATATTGATCATCGGGATCGCTTGGGTTCTTAGACTATGTATTTCGAAATTGCTCACTTCGTACAAGAATAATTTTAAGTCCTTTAAATCTCTATAATATATCTACATAACAAATACGTTACGTAAATTATATAACATATATTTATTCCAGTGTTAACGTACAGCTTGCGATTAATAAAATTATAAAAAAAACTTTTAACTTTTTGTTAATGCATAACCCCCACTCTTTAGTCCAATATTATTATAAAAAATATACAATAATATATTTAAAAATTGCGTTGACAACGCGTCCGCGTGGGGTGAAATGTTCTTAGCTAAGCACTGCGCGACATATCTACTTTATAAGATACGTATAATATATATATTTAATCTGTATTCCAATTTTCTATTATCAAACTTATAACAAATAGCACTTATTCTAACACCCTTTGAAGTTGTTCTTCTATTTATACATTGTTATAAAACCGTATCTATTAACACGATATGTGTATGATTGCATACGCGTTATTATATATGAAAAAAATATATATTATGTATATTAATCGTGCGTTTACATATAAATAAACATCATTTAATGTGAAGAGTTGTATATTATATACTTAATTAATTATGACAAAACACTATGATATATGAATCTTGAACAATGTACCAAAAAAATATTAATAATATGCTGAGAAAAAAATAAATAATTTGAATGCTGCTTCTTTATTTATTGTGTTTTAATATTATGTATTTCATTACGTTTTTCAATAATTCGTTGTAAATATTCGTATAAGATTTTTTTGTTGTCTCCGTTGTATTTTGAGATCTAAAAATGGGAAGTATCGTGGTCCAGTGTAACCAATGTTGTGTTTTGTGTTTTCCGTACCAGAAATTGTGACTTTAGCGGTAGTCAGTGGCTTTACCCGGTCTTAAAGGGCCCTGGACAACGATGAATCATCAATGTTTTTTTTTCCTACGTAAGCTGATGGTCTTGAGATACCATTTCAGTGTAACCTTAATAAGTAGGCAAGCTCACGGGACTCAAACCTGACGACGTTGCTAACACTAACCTTAGCAAGAGCAGTGCTTCGCAGAATCTACCACCGGATCGGATTCGCGACCCACTGAGAAGATCCGGCGAGAAACTCAGTGGACTTTGTCTGTGGGTTAATTTACTCGCGGAGCCCTTCGTCGCAAGCGACGGGTTCGACGAGAACGATGACCGGTGTTTGGGGTACCTAAAAGCGCCGTTAGTGGATCGGGAGAATCCGAAATGACGTGTTTAAGGCGACGTCGACTGTTTACCATTCAGTCCGCAAGATCAGGAATGTAGTTACCGGCGGCCACGATGAGAGGGTTCTCGTGTCGTGCCGCTTTTTTGAAATGACGCACTGGTGCCGACTGAACTTACTGATGGACTCTAGGTCCATGTTGTCGTGGAGGTCCACATTTCTGACATATCACGGGGCTCTGGCGGCTATTCTAAAAAACGGGATTGTCTTATTTGGAAGGGTTTCAATATTGTGCGGGCCGCGTCAGCGAACACTACATTTGCATAAGTCACGACCGGACGTATACGAGTTTTGTAGAGGAGCTAATGCCTGATATAGGTTGATATAATAAGGCCTGATATAATTGTTACAAGTACTGGATGCATTTTGTGATCATGAGTGGAGGCACCTAGAACAAATATGACGAATATTTTTTTTTTTGTTACTTAGGTAGGTGGACGAACTCACAGACCACCTGGTGTTAAGTGGTTACTGGAGCCCATAGACATCTACAAAGTAAATGCGCCACCCACCTTGAGATATAAAATCTAAGGTCTCAAGTATAGTCACAACGGCTGCCCCACCCTTCAAACCGAAACGCATTACTGCTTCACGGTAGAAATAGGCAGGGTGGTGGTACGTACCCGCGCGGACTCTCAAGAGGTCCTACCACCAGTAAAAATCTTTTTCAAATATAGCCTTAATCAAATTCCCATTGAGCATGCGAAGAGATAGACGAGATTAAACCGTAAAACTGATTTTAATCTCTCGTTTCTGGGTTCACTCGATTCAGTATCGGAACATTATTCTTCATCTATCACGTCGAACCACTGATGGAATTGCTCCCCGTTTGTATCCAGCTCGTACTCTAGGCACCTCCCACTGAGCCATCTGAAAAGGTAACGTGTTTTGAAGCGATAGCTTTGAAGTCGTCGTGGCCTAAAGGATAAGACGTCTGGTGCAGATTCGTATCTAGCGATGCACCGGTGTTCGAATCCCGCAAGCTGGTACCAATTTTTNTCATCTATCACGTCGAACCACTGATGGAATTGCTCCCCGTTTGTATCCAGCTCGTACTCTAGGCACCTCCCACTGAGCCATCTGAAAAGGTAACGTGTTTTGAAGCGATAGCTTTGAAGTCGTCGTGGCCTAAAGGATAAGACGTCTGGTGCAGATTCGTATCTAGCGATGCACCGGTGTTCGAATCCCGCAAGCTGGTACCAATTTTTCTAATGAAATACGTACTTAAGAAATGTTCACGATTGACTTCCACGGTGAAGGAATAACAACGTGTAATAAAAATCAAACCCGCAAAATTATAATTTGCGTAATTACTGGTGGTAGGACCTCTTGTGAGTCCGCGCGGGTTGGTACCACTGCCCCGCCTATTTTCTGCCGTGAAGCAGTAATGCGTTTCGGTTTGAAGGGTAGGGCAGCCGTTGTAACTATAGTTATACTGAGGCCTTAGAACTCATATCTCAAGGCGGGTGGCGCATTCACGTTGAAGATGTCTATGGGTTCCAGTAACCGCTTAACACCAGGTGGGCTGTGAGCTCGTCCACCAACCCATCTAAGCAATAAAAAAAAAAAAACTTAAACTCACTGATGGTATTTGCAGCCGATTATAGGATACTCTTTCTTGTAGCATTGTGTTTTGAGAATCTTGAAGTAAATCTCTTTGACTTTTCTAGATGTTTCTGTTTCAGCCAAGCGAAGACACCGGCGGAATTCCTCGTCGCACGTGCAATGTAATCTGTGACAAGAAAAAAATCAACTCTTTTCTCATTTGATAGTCCTCCGATTTACGTGAAACTTCTAGAAAACGTAATGTTTTTCGAGGACGGTTTTAATTATTTTGTTTTGTCTTATGGGACATATTAGGTCGCATAGATCGATATCAATAGAAAGAGGGAGTAATGTAAGCCTTCCGATTTGGCAGTCAGGATAACCGTGCTCTAATTTAAGTGAAATTTGGACTTGTTGTGCACATTGCTATGACTATTGGATTAGGTAACTAGTAACACCAGATTTTCTGTCTAGGGAGCTATTTTTTCCGTCTAGAGACGAGTTTTATTTATAATCTTTGGCTAACTGCAACCAACGGTTTTTCGCAAGAAGAGTCGTCTATTCGGCAGAAATTATGAAAAATCATAACACCTTGAATAAAATGCCGTGTTGGTGAGATTGTGTTTCGTCTCTCCGGCGGCTATATGGTCGATGCAGTGATCGTGGCTTCTACAGCATTTGTCGGTTTCGATCTCGGAGCCCAGATCCTCGTAGTCCATCGCTATGTTTCCTGAACCGCACCATTTTGTATCTGTTAATGAAAAACCAATTTGCAGTAACTAAGTGAAAGTAATGGAAACCACAATTAACCACATTAAAGTGTTAATTAAACATAATATAATATTTGTATACTTAACTCTAGAGAAATTGAACGGTTTTTTATAGCTTTCATCACAAGGCGAGTATCGCCACCCACCTGGGTCTAAATCTTATTTGTATACCTATTGTATACCTGCCTATATGTAAGGTAGGTAGGTAAGGTATGTAAATAGTAAAAGTGCTTTTTAAATTATTCTGTAATTGCCAACACCGTTAACAGTCTTATAATATCAATAAATTGAATACAAAAATTTACTTCAAAACTTTAATTATTTCAAAAATAAATTAGAAATAAATTGAAATCGTGTGACTTATCAGAAAAATTCTTCCGGGACACTCCAAGAGAAAATATTTAATAAAGTTTTAAAAATTTATGGATTTGATTTGAAATTCAATTTTAATTCTAAAATTTGCGAAATGATGATAGCTACAATTCCTAGGCCCAATTAGTTGAACTCACCGGGATATATGAGTTGAAAGTCTTGATTTGTTTCTTTTTCTTTGTTATTATTCAAAATCTTAAAGATTCTCTCTAATAAAATACTCCAAGAACTGCAGGAGCCAATTAATAAAAAAACGAAAAAAAACAACATCCACTGATTAAGCATAGTGAATACAAGGCCTTTAAATTACAATACATTGATTACAATATCTTTTAAAACAGATTGATTCCATAACCGTTACCTGACTGAATTTATTATAAATTACAAAATTGTCTTGATTTAAAATTAATTAAATTAACATTATCTAAGGTCACGGCTTATGCCACAAGCCGAAGCGTGTTATTGTTAAAATTTTGGTTCACCATTAATAACTGGATATATATATATATATATATATATATATATATATATATATTATTTATTATAATACAGTAATATGTACTATCCAATAATTAAGCTTAAACTGAATTTTATTTCAAATTATCGACGAATCAATGGGGAAGTAAATTAGGCTCCGTTGTGAGAGAAAACAACACCCTGTGGAAACTAATGACGCACCGTCTATCGTCGCTTGAAGGGCCTATGACAAATACTTCTCCTCAAGCCCCAAAAATATTCGTTTTCATTGCGATATAAGTTGCGTGAACACATTAATCGCGAACTAAGCACTTAAGGGCTAAATACACATAGGAAAGATCCTACACCGAGCGGATCAAATTGCTCGGTAGAGCCATATTAAGTGTATAATCTATGGGTAGAGCGATTATTATCTTAAAAAGTAAAATATTAAAATTATATTAAGGTCATAAATTTAAATAAAAACTATCTACCCTGTCTCTCAAGTTGGACCAATAGACACAGTGTGCGAAGTTTTATTAAAATCGGTTCATCACTACATGTATAGTATAAAAAAAGTCGCTTTCTCTGTCCCTATATCTGTCTGTCCCTATGTATGCTTAAATCTTTAAAACTACGCAACGGATTTTGATGCGGTTTTTTTTAATAGATAGAGTGATTGAAGAGGAAGGTTTATATGTATAATAGCATCCATTAAATAGTGGAGAAATCAATAATAAATCACATTTTTCGAAGCGAAGCGAGGGCGGGTTGCTAGTTAGTTCTAAAGTTTATTGCGGACAAACAAACTCACGGATTTTCGTATTTGGATAGCGTAGCGTATGCGGTTCTCAGACGCCACGCATATCACAACACACACCAATATATTTTCGCAAGCGTTTTTAATGACAGATTATGTCAAAGGAAAACTTATTGGATGGACGAGCTCACGGCTCAACTGTTTAATTGGTTAACGGAGCCCATAGACATCAACAACGTAAATGCCGCCACCCACCTTGAAACAAGTCTCAGTTTTATAGTACAATGTGTACCCCAGCATTCAAACGAAACGCATTAATGCTTCACGGCAGAAATAGGCAGGGTGGTTGTTCATACCCGCGCGGGCTCACAAGAAGACTCAACACCAGTAATTGCACAATTTGATAATAAAAATTGCTCAATTGATCATCAAATCATTGTTCCATTACCGTGGAACGCTCCTTTTTTCTTTCATTCAGTCCACAAACATCCATTACCGGATATAGGCTCGCCTAAGCCTCGTCACATCGACCTACGCTGCGTGTATATTACCGGAAGATGCAGCATGGATAAACCTCCCACAAGGTGGACTGACGATCTGTTGAAGGTTGGCGAGAATCCGTAGAAGTCATTCAGTCACCGTCGACGCCCTAGACACGTCCTTACGGATCCATCAGATCCAATAACCTTTGCACTAGACGCCTTCAGCTCTAACACTAGGAGCAGGCTTAGGGACCCCGGTAACCGTACTCGTCGAACTCGACAAAGAGTTTGACGTGCAACCTAACCCATGAATCAGCTCGCTGAGTTTCTCGCCGAATCTTCTCAGCGGGTCGCGATTCCGATCCGGTAGTAGATTCATTCGCGAAGCAGCTGCTCTTGAGCTGTTAGGTCTCCTTCAGAGGCGCTCGGGCAGCTGTTAGCAAATCCCACCCCTTCTGGCTGAGCCTTTGCTCGCCCACCTGTCCTGGTAAAACTGGAAAGGCATCCGGGCCACCAGTAATCCTTCAATCAAAAAAAAAAAAGAAGTCATTCGTGAATATTTGTTAAATACGTATTTCATTAGAAAAATTGGTACCTGTCTATGAGATTTGAACACCGACACAGTCACATCGCTTGGTGCATGTATAACGGGTGCCTTACCTTTTGGGCCACGACGACTTCAAATATCATATTCATTCAAAACACACCACACACACAAGAACACCTGGTTAATCTAATATTAATAATTTAATTCAACTTTTAGTGAGTTCTAAGTTACATCATTGGAATGCTATAGAAGTTATTTCTGTTCGTTTAGTATCTTCATAAAAGACATTTCGCGATTTGGTTCGCAGTTTGTATAACGGTTCTTACTCCGTTTTGACAATACTGTATTATGTCAGGTGTTTCGATTTTCAGTTAGAATAATAATTCAAATTGTTTTGAAAATATTCAATTAGTACGAAAAATCGCAGATGTTTGGTTGAGAAAATAAAATTATCAAGCAACTGTTTGCTAATCTTGACTATCAGAGAGGAGACAGACAAATACCCATAAATTAAAATAATAATTTGGAATTATATTAGTGAATTGATTTTTGTTTCGTTTACTCTACTTTCAAATTTAATTACGGCTCTCGCCTGTATTTTCCCAAATACATAATAATATAATGAACACAACACATTTAAAACTGCCCACAATATACGTTTATAAATAATAATTGTTATCGCTTATTTACCAGCACTTATTTGATAAATATACCCGTTATTATTTATGCCAAGTTATTAATTGTAAATATAGTAACTCGTTACTTATTGTAAATATAATAACTTGTAAATAGACAAAAATAATGAGGTGCATTTGAAGAGACCTACACTCAGCACTGGGTAGACACGGGTTGAAGAAGAGAGACAATAACACGATAAAACCCGTCAAACCGTTTGTATTAGAATGCACGAGATAGAAGTTGAAGTTAGAAGTCGAAAGAAGTTACGAAATTCAAATTTTGTATTCGAAGAGTAGTAAGATACTATTTGGGAGAATTGGGTAATACAGATCGAGAAAAAGTGGTGCTGTCCCTACGACTGACCGATTCATATAATAATACATATATTAATAACTGGTACATCCGAGACGACTGATTTTTTTTGTTTCAGGTGGGATTATTCACAACGCACAGACAGTGCTAAATAAAAACTATAACTACGAAAAAAGTTAAAATCAAAAATTCGAAGTTTAAATTTTTGCAATTTAAATTTCGATAAATCAGAAAAAGGAGAAAGAACTAAAGGTTCCAATTTTAGTGACAATTACTTTACGAGTTTAAAGTACGAAGCTAACCTCTGCAGAGTTCATCGTGTGTCGTCCTTTGAAATAGAGTAAATATTTTGTTAGCTGTGTTTTCTTTATAGTTTTCAAAAGAACAAACATTATTATCACTAGCTACGTGTGGATGTATTGTTTTATTTTTAAACAATATCTCATATTTTGTTCGGTCGCGGCTGGAACTGGGACGCTCGACCTGGTGTAAACATTTTAATAAATAAACATTTAAAAAATCTGCAACAACCAGTAATTTCTTTAGTATACACTGAAACAGAAAGGTCACAAGAGAAGGACATACAGTTGATGAATAGCAGAATGGACGTAGTGTAGTTGACGAGCTCACTAACTCTGCTGTCTTGAAAATGAACTGAAAGGTATACTATAATGTCTACTATTCTTTAATAAAACTATTTGTATTTCAGTAGCGTGAGTATTAATTTTTTTGGCACCGTAAATTAAAATAATTATTACTATGTGACTTTTTGTTATAATCTTTTGCAAATCATGTTCTACGTTTGGTATGTTTTGAATATTTTTGTGTTCGGCTGGTTAAATTTTAATGACATTATTATAAAAATAGTAGTAATTTTTTGTTTTAACTCACTAGTAATATCCGATATCATTGTAATTGTTGTTCAATGTATAAAAAAATTAATTTGTTCAAACTACCCTCATGTCTCCCATTTTGTGTTGATAGTACTATCACGAAACCTTCACTGATGTACTCTTCTAAAGTAACATGTATAAAGAAGATAATATGTTACGATATATTATTAAATAATGAAGAGGACAATATTTATGATATAAATTCGATGTTTAGCAAATAGTGCAATACGTATAATTACGTAATGCATATTGAAATCAATTAAGGCGAATCATCTACTCCTCGACTCACCCCTAGTGTATTGACAAATACACACAAATGACGTCACACGAAGTGAAATAAATACGTAATGAATTAAAACTGTATTCGGTTAACTTAGTTATTCAGTATTTTACATGTTTCAGCAACTTTTAGTACTGTATGACATTTATTTAAGCCTTTGACGCATCGAATAAAAGATTCCTGTGAAATGTTTCGTCATTTATTCTGTCTCATTGTTCTAATCGCCGTTCAGACTAACAAAGCGGCAGAGATCAGGATCGATCCGGATATTTTTGGTTTTCAAAGCGCCATATACGAAACCAACTTTGTGTTCCCTGGTGAGCATTCTTTAATTTAGTAAATTATACTAGAGGATGACCGAGTTCTGCTCGTTTTTTTTTTGATAAATTTTGTTTTTTAGAAATTATTAATATATTTAAATATGAATTACATATTGATATTATATTATTTATTATTTGTTATTTTCTTTCTATAAAAAAAAAAGTTTATGTTTATGTTGATTATCTTTTTTTTTGGGTGGACGAGCTCACAGCCCACCTGGTCTTAAGTGGTTACTGGAGCCCATTGACATCTACAACGTAAATGCGCCACCCACCTTGAGATATAAGTTCTAAGGGTCTCAGTATAGTTACAGGTGATTGAAAACACGAATAAAACAACATTTTCTGAAAATAAATCGTAGCTAGATCGATTTTTCGCCCCCGAAATCCCCTGTATACTAAGCTTTATGAAAATCGTTGAGAGCCGTTTCCGAGATTCAGATTATAAATATATATATATTTATAAGAATTGCTCATTTAATATAACATTGTTTTTTTAATTATTACATTTTTCTTGATATAATCGTAAACGTCAAGCTGTCCTTTTTTAATTTTATATTGCCGTGTTTGTGGATGAGCTCACGGCCCACTTAGCGTTAAGTGGTAAGGGTAACCGAAGCCATAAACCCATCTTGAGGAACGAATTCTACTAATATTATCAGAAACGCATTACTGCTTCACAACAGAAATAGGCAGGACGGTGGTACCTACCCGTGAGGGCTCACGATACCCTACAGATAGTACAAATTTAGCTTATGAGATTCGAGGATAATGAGAAAGCATTTGAGATATGAGATTGAAGTCTCAATGAAATTTCTCACCACCACCATCACTAATTTATACGAAGGTAATACTATCACTTCAATAACTTTAAGGTTATTTATGAAATTTAGGTACAATGTGGTGTGGTGCAGGACATGTGGCAGAGAGTTACGAGGATTTGGGTTCGGAGTGGGAGACCGACATGTGCTGTCGGGAGCACGATCACTGCACTGACCTTATACCCGCCGGGGAGACCAAGCACGGCCTCACCAATGACTGCTTCTATGCCAGGTAATATTTTAACGATTTTAAATAATAGGTCGGGGAAAAAGTTTCTTCGCATTTTTTAAGAAAATTTTAAGAAAACATCCAATGAAATGTTTTCCGAATTTGATGACGTCATTAAAATAACTACAAAACAGTACTATATAGTTACAACCCGGCCACAAATTTAAAGGCCGACGTTGAAGCATTTGGGCAGTGATTCTCAACCTTTAGAAAAGAAAAAGATAAGCTGCACAAATAAAAATCGTCCACTTATCTTTAATAGGACACAGTGTAAAACAGTGTATGATAATGATTTTGATTGTAAAATTTGGTTACACACTTTAAGAATTCGGCAGCGAACAAAAGTGCCGCGGCATAATGGTTGAGAATCACTGCTTTAGGTTAAAAAAAATATTTTTTTATTGCTTAGTTGAGTGAACGAGTTCACGGCTCACCTGGTGTTAAGTGGTTACCGAAGCCCATACACATCTACAACGAAATTTCCGCCACCTACCTTAAGATATAAGTTCTAAGGTCTCAGTATAGTTACAACGGTTGTCCCACCCTTCAAAGAGGCAGAAATAGGCAGGGTGGTGGTACCTACCCGTGCGGACACACAAGAGGTCCTACCACCAGTACTGGATTATTTAATTTAAAATAATTTCATTTCTTTCAGATTAAGCTGTGAATGTGATGAAAAGTTTCGGCTATGTCTTAAAAATGCTAATACGGATATATCGCATACAGTTGGCATGACGTACTTCGATACTATTGGAACGAAGTGTTACAGAAAGGACTACCCGGTCGTAGGTTGCCAGATGTACGGAGGGTGAGTACTAAGCTTACAAAAGACTAGCGGCCCGCTCCGGCTTCGCTCGGGTCTTTAAAATACACATGGTGAGGTCCCGCGTCCTTTCACGGCAGTGCTTTTGCAAGAGACTTAGTTCTTCGAGTGAAGCCTTATTTGGGTCCGGCTAATTAACCGCCGCCCGACATTCGGCGTGGACTCAAACAGGTTCTTAATACAATCTGTTTTAATTCCAGCATGTTCATGCCAATTTGCTTGGAGTACGAATTTGATAAGAAGAGCAAACAGATCTACCAGTGGTTCGACGTCAAGGGGTACTCTGAGTGAACACGAATCTATTGAAATCACTTCCAGGAAAGTGCAGGATTTTTTCTCTTATTCTTTTCTCTTATATCCGTTATAGACTAGTCAACAAGTGCCATTTGCACCAACTTTTTTCAGCAGTCTCCGAAAATTATAAGCGAGGTGTCATTCGATTTGGAATGGCATCTAGATGATTTTTGAGAAAAATGTAGTTCCGCTTGCAAAAATTGTAAAAGTTATTAACAATTAACTAAAAAAAAAGGGGGGGTTTAGTTTTTTGCAAATATCTCAAAAAAGTAATAAAGATTTTTCAAATTTGAAACAAGATTCAAAAAGTGTAGAAAAATTCTTAAAAAAAGACACCTTATTTATAATTTTCGAAGACTGCTGAAAAAAGTTGGTCCAAATGGCACTCGTTGACTAGGCTATTAAGAGAAAAGAATAAATTATAACTCAATATTATTTTATGTGTTGTATAAGAAATATATAAATAATTAAAAAGAACTTATTTTATTGTAGAATCGATTGTGTTATTGTTTAAAAAAGAATTAAGTAATTTTTTAATATTTGTTTGATCAATGAGGAAAAAAGGATGTTAACAATTAACTGAGATTACTTTGAGAATTTAAATAATTTAATTATACTCTGAAGATAGATGAATAAAATGAAAATCTAAGTATACAAAATGTGATTTAATTTAACATACATATAAACTATACGTAAGTGAAGGAGTTTAAAACGAAAAAGTAGTTTAAATTAAAATCGCTGGGACGAAATGTCACCTTGGCAAACTTAAGGTCATTAACATTCGATGTTTATATTTATTGCTTGCTCATTTGTGTTAGCTGTGTGAAGTTTATATTATCATTATTGTAAGTAACGTTAGTTAGTTAAATCAATCTGATTTAATTGTGGTGGTGAGTGAGGTACGTTATATAATAATATGTCAGAATTTATATACTATGTTAGCATGATTCTAGAACATTAGCTATTGCCGCTTGTAGAATAGAGGCATTTTTTTAAGGGATTTTATGACCTGGTAACTGAGACCTTCAAGTCATGTCTTATTTTAATTTATATTCATATTTTCAAGGTCAAGGGACAAGGTCCCATAGACTAGAATGCCACCCATCATGATATTTAAGGCCCGGAGTCAAAGCTTTAAGTGTTCATTAAGTTGCTAATAATGATATGTATTTTGTAGACTTTTTCATTAAATTTGCATTCCTGAGCCTAAAATGTCGTGTGAATTTCTCGAATAAAACGTAGGAAAGTTTTAATAAATTTCATTTATTTCTATTATTTTTTTTAATAAATTACGTCATGAATCGGAGGTTACAACATTTTTGCATTACACTACAATAAAGAAATGTATGGAAATTATTTTAAATCAAAGTTAAACAATAGTTTACAGCTGATTGATATCTTCCTTTAAAAAAACAATATTTATTAATTACCTACATATGATATTATCAAATCAGTTGGTTAATTTAAAATACTTCCTAATTCTTAACTAAAATTACAAACTATAGGAACAATGGTATCACATTAATATTATAATAACTATGGGCTGCATCCGGGAAGGTGTTCAGTGTGTCCAGATCATCAGTTGGCATAGTTCCTGACGTCGAACCACTGGTAGATCTGTTCGCTCCTCGTGTCGTAATCGTACTCCAAACATTTCTTTCTGAATAATCTGTAACAATTAAACAATAGTTTAGAGATGCGATCAGTATTATCTTGGGACGACCTTGAACACGGTATCCTGTCGATGGTACTTCAGTTAGATTCAGTACTGACCCTCCGTAAGTGTTGCAGCCTAAGACAGGGTAGTCTCGTCTGTAGCACTTGGTGCCGAGCGCGTTGAAGTATATCTTGCCGATTCTGCGCGACGTCTTCGTGTTAGCTTTATTCAGACACAGCCGGAATGCCTCGTCACATTTACAGTTCAACCTGGAAGAAAGATGATAGCGATATTATGATATTTCTAAAAGAACTACTATGTTATTGAAGAACAAATTTATTGAATTTATAGTAAGTACTATATTATGTTTATTTCGTTTTCTTAAAATGTCCGTGTAGTACCTGGTGTAGAAGGCGTCGTTGGTGAGGCCGTGCTTGGTCTCCCCGGCGAGTATGAGGTCAGTGCAGTGGTCGTGCTCCCGACAGCACATATCAGTCTCGCGCGCTGAGCCCAGGTCCTCGTAGCTCTTCGCTCTGTCCCCTTTACCGCACCATTTTGTACCTAAAAATGAAAAAGAGTATATTTTTAATTTTCTGATACTTTTTCGCTGGAACTAAGTACTGATTAGACGAACAGTTAGTCTGTAGTCAATACGCAGAAATTAAATACAATCATCTAGTAAAAAACTCTTACCAGGAAATATGAAGTCGAACACCTCAACGGTTTTATGTACTCGTACTGTTAAAGTATTACACTGTTTGAAGAGCGTAAATTAGTAAATAAACCTGTATCGGCTAGTAAAACTCTTGTGTTACTGAATGAAGGAAGTCACTGAATATGACTTTATATGTAATGTTTTATCGTTTATTATTTTGTTAAAGTTTCCTTTAGCGTGACGTCGTTGTGTTCATCAATAAACTGGGACTAGCCAAGAAGCAACAATACGTAAGCACATTTAGTGCGTATACATACGTAATACAAATATATTCCCACGTGGCGATGAGATAATAAAAACTGTGGTGTCAGCAAAATTAAAAAATAAACGAATTTAGTACTAATCTACTATATGACGAACGAATTGAGAGCCTTCTCTTTTTCTACTTAAAATTGGTTGGAAATAACGCAAACGCAGGATTCAAGAAATAGGATGGTGGTTCTTTCAGCCCACAAAGGTCCACTAGCCGAATATTACGATATGTTCTACAATCAGTAAATGTCTGCCATCGTATTATGGTGGTATAATGTTCAAGTTGCGCTGCTGCCTATTGACCAGTGACTCCCTCAGTAGCCTTTTAAAACATTCACCGAAGAGATGGTGTAGTGCAATTTAAAAACACAAAGCTGGCGCAGGTGAGATCAACTTAGTCTTGTGCATTACCTGGAAACCATCATGAGGTTAATGCTGCCTTTCGGGTTGAGATAAAGGTGGAATTTTCAATGATAATAAAGTAAAACCACCGTTATCGACTGATGCTTTAAAGTAGACAGATGTATAGGCAGCGCATAGATAGGTAGCGACTTGGCTCTACCCCCTGGCATTGCTGAAGTCCATGGGCGACGGTAACCACTCATCGTCAGATAGGCCGTACGATCGTTCGCCAACAAGGGCAATTAAAAAAAAGGCGGTGGACCTCACTGCGCGCTGGCATTACGTACAAGCACTACTGAATAATTCGTTTAAATGTAAACTAGCCCCTTACCACGAAGTAATTTAACTCCCGGTAATTATGCCGGGCTGGTTTCGTAAAGACTACGTAAGAATATGTCTGACTAAATATGGTAACAAATGGTACTAGTGTAATTCAAATAAATAAAAAATATAACACATAAGCTATATGTTTGTACTTTATTTTTCATTTAAATCAAATTAATTTTCATATGTTCCCCAAGGGAAACCTAATTTACGTAAGAATGCAATAAACAAAATTTAACAACGCGTAGTCTACTTACGTCTGTGATTTTGTAAAAGTAAATGACGTATTATTGTTGTAAATAATAGCGATGTAGATCAATGTTTCCCTATGCGCATTGTCTCGATTTATTGAAATCACGTCACAATACAGGAAACTGTGAAGAAACAGTTAAATAATATATAAAAGCAAATATTAAATAATTAATCGTTCAGTATTAAAAAGACTTCAATACGAGCAGCAGCAATTTATGAAATAGTTACATAAGTGCTTATTTTCTATAGAAAAAAGTTGTTGAAATGTTCAAAATGGCCGCTTGTTTTTGTTGTTTCATTTTAATGATCACATTGTACATTAACGGAGTGACCGGCAGCTGGTTCGCGAACGACTCTGCTGTTAATATCGATGAAGACGTACTAGATATTCAAAGTGAAACAATAGCAAGGAAGAAGTTCGACTTCATCTTTCCTGGTAAGTGCTTTTTTTAATAGTTGATCATAATTCATTTCTGCGTATCGACAACTAACTAGCTGTGTGTCTAATCAACACTTAATTCTAGCTAAAAATAATAAGTAAATTGAAAAAAAATGTATTTTACTTTCAAAAGGTACAAAATGGTGCGGTAAAGGGGACATAGCGAAGAACTACGAGGACCTGGGCTCAGCGCGCGAGACTGACATGTGCTGTCGGGAGCACGACCACTGCACTGACCTCATACTCGCCGGGGAGACCAAGCACGGCCTCACCAACGACGCCTTCTACACCAGGTACTACACGGACCTTTGACGAAAATGAAATAAACAAATATTGTACAATAAATATTTAAGATAAGATTTGTACTTCAATAACATAGTAGTTCTTTTAGAAGTATCATCATATAGCTATCATCTTTCTTCCAGGTTAAACTGTAAATGTGACGAGGCATTCCGGCTGTGTCTGAACAAAGCTAACACGAAGACGTCGCGCAGAATCGGCAAGATATACTTCAACGCGCTCGGCACCAAGTGCTACAGACGAGACTACCCTGTCGTAGGCTGCAACACTTACGGAGGGTCAGTACTGAATCTAACTGAAGTACCATCGACAGGATACCGTGTTCAAGGTCATCCTAAGATAATACTGATCGCATCTCTAAACTATTGCTTAACTGTTACAGATTAATCAAAAAGAAATGCTTAGAGTACGATTACGACACAAGGGGCGAACAGATCCACCAGTGGTTCGACGTCAAGAACTATGCCAACTGATGACCTAGATACACTGAGCACCTTCCCGGATGCAGCCCATAGTATTATAGCATTAATGTGATACCATTGTTCCTATAGTCTGTAATTTATTTAAGAGATGTAGCAGTACGTAAAAGACGGGTATTATAGATAAAGTTTTCTTGTAAATGTGGATCAATCACAATTACCTTGAATGTACATTTATAATTTAAGTGATAACCCAATAAAAATAAATGGAAGAAAATAAGTTTTTTAATTTATTTTAACGTAATATAATTTATTTTATTTTATTTATATATAATAATATGAATATCATATTTAATTTTTATAACAGCACTTGTGCTTAAATCGGTGCACATACTCGTAATATGGAAATGACTCAACTTTTAATTCAAAAATAAGGATAACTTAGAAATTCCTTTGGTTTTGCGAATTCTTAGGATGTTTATTGGATTTTTTTTATTGCCCTTGTAGGCAGACGAGAATATGGCCCACCTGATGGTGGTGAGTGGCTACCGTCGCCCATAGACTTCAACACCGTAGATACATATAGATAGTACGAAACCCGCTGGCAGGTACCAATATTTTTAATGAAATACGTGCCTAACAAATGTTCACGATTAACTTCCACGATGAAGGAATAACGTAAAAATCAAACCCGCAAAAATTATAATTTGCGTGGTAAGGTCCCGTGGTGGTAGGGTCGTGTGAGCCCGTACGGGTGGGTACCACCGTCCTGCTTATTTCTTCGGTGAAGCAGTAATGCACTTCGGTTTGAAGGGTCGGGACAGCCTTTATACTGTATACAGTGAGACTTAGAAGTCATATTTCAAGATGGTCGGCGTTGGCATTGACATTATTGATGTCCACCAGTGACTACTTAACAACAAGTTTTTTTTATAGCCTTTGTAGGCAGACGAGTATACTGCCTGTCGTCTGCAAAGCTAGGGGTACAGTCAAGTCGCCATCTACCATTGGGCACTTTCCGCAGGCTTTGTTTGATGAAGGATCCGTCATAGCGCTCGGGAAACACCGTAGAGGAGAGATCGTTCCAGAGTCGGATGGTACGAGGCACAAAAGATCTCCGAAAACGCACTGTCGATGAACGCAGCGCTGCAGCGGTTCCAAATAGTGCGGATGGAAAGTGGTGTGTTAACGAATCAATGTCGCGTCATACATTGATGGCTGTGATTGACCAACTATGACGTAATATCGCACGAACCAATCACAAAACGGAAAGGCAATTGTGGCACCAAATGTGAAAAAAAAAAAAATAACACGAAGAAAAAAGTTGGACGCGCATGTCAATTCAATTTTGTAAGATAATTTAAAATAATATAATGAGTATTTGAAGAAGTAAACTCATTTATTCATTTTTTTGGCCACCTCAAGATACCTCTAACCTATGTATGCAATAAAATTAAAGTTCCTCCGTTTGTCGTCGTCGTGTTAACAATAAGACATTGTTATTCCTGTCATTTTGCTTCTTATTTATGATTAATTCAGTTGACGATTTAATCGAACTGCATCGATCGAGGTCGCAAGCGGGCTTAGCTGGTAGCTCCGTTTATTTTAATCTCAGTTTATTTGAATCCACTTTTTTTCTAATTAAATAGAAGGACACACGAGCTCACCGTACACCAGAATTAGAGGCTACGTAGATTTTCTCCTGTGTCATGTTCCACTGTTGTACCACACGCGAGGAGGACAAGATGACCAAGACTGCAGGGTGCGAAGGAGTCCACTTACTCGTTTAGTCGTGATGTAGAGTACATATTCCATATGCTTGCGTTCGAGTATTCGTGGTACGGAAATTTAGCGTGTCTTCGCAAAAGGAATAATAATCAAATCTGATACAAATAATAATAGTTCTATACCTATGAAGTTCCCTTTTTACAGGCCATTTTATATGTAGACTTATATGTAGACGATGTAGGCAGTATTTTTTTTTTATTCATTGAATTTTATTTGAAGCACGTGTAATTACATTTTGAAATTTAATCATTTTTTTATTGATTTTGTTGTCATTTCATTTGTATATTTTTTTCAATATTTACCCGATAAAAATACGAGTAATTATATGTTTAAGCGCAACTGCTAGACTGTAAAAGCTCTAAGTAGGTAAAGCGAATTATTTATTACATTAAATTGAAAAAGCTTAACGTACATTATTCGTCGGGAAAATAATAGTATTACTGCTTTACGGTAGAAAAAGGAAGGGTAGTGATACGAATGCACCGAGCGTCTTATCATTTAAGCCACTATCACTTCAAACAACATTAACCACCAAAACAACAACCACAACTCTCATGAAGATGCTACTAACAATTTTCATTATATAATCTCATTATTATACAACAATAAAGACAATACACGTCTCGTTACAAATACGCGCTTCCAAATTCGATAATTTTATGTCTTAATATCGGAGCTCTTTGAAAAAATTACGGTCGGTATTTTTACAACTATCTTGAGCTATTTTAATTCAAACTTAATAGGTAATATTTATCTTAATTATTCTGTTTATCTTACTTATTCTGTTGATTATTTACGTACAATTATTATTTAATAATATAGAATTATATAACATAAATAACATTAAAGGTTTATTGCACCGAAAGCTGTCAAGCAGAAAGCGCCCATAAAATATATAAGAAAGAAATATGTAAGAATAAGTAAGAAATATGAATCAACTATTTACTTGATTATAAAATTACTGATAAAACAATAATAAGTTCTATATATTGCCTAATCATTAGGATGTACCTGAACTAGTTCGTAAATAATGGCTCACATAATAATATTATGTGTGGCCGGAAGTGTTACTCTATAACACTACACTATCCTTACTTTTGACATTCAAGTCGAATCATTTCCATTTTATGTGCAACGATTCAAGCACAAGTACTGTTATCAGAATTTGAAATGAATTAAACCAATCAATTTATTTCTACATATTTATTTTGATGTCACCTCAGTTATAAATGTACATTAGATATTAATTGTGTAATTAGTAATTATGATTAAACCACACTAAAAAATAATAATCTATAACCCGTATTTTACGAAATACAATAACTCTTAAATAAATTACAGACTATAGGAACAATGGTATCACATTAACGTTATAATACTATGGGCTGCATCCGGGAAGGTGTTCAGTGTGTCCAGGTCATCAGTTGGCGTAGTTCCTGACGTCGAACCACTGGTAGATCTGTTCGCTCCTCGTGTCGTAATCGTACTCCAAACATTTCTT